CGTTAAAGTCTCTCTCTATACCATTATTCTTAGTCCCAGTGTTTTCAGACATGCAGCCTCCCCTTCTTTTCCAACAAATAAACATATTAAAATGACTCGGTATCTTTTACATTAAATATTTCAGGAAGACTTTTTCCAGCTAATACATTTTAATGATAAGACAAGAACTGTTCAGACTATTTTTAAACTACTGAAGAACCATTCACTAAGACTAGCAGACCCCTGAAGACACCACAAAAAAAGCCTCAAGAGTCTTCATCAACAGTAACCAAGCTTTTCACTCAGGCAGACTGTATGAATTTATTTTAGCAACAAATATGCCATGGCCCCTCTACAACCTTATTAGCAAATCTGTTATGCACACATAATTTGATACAAGTAAAGCAGTCTTCAGAAATAAACTGGGATGCACTTGGGGGGTAAATTCAAGTCTTACTAACATACGGCCAAGACTGTTCTGGCTAAGCAACCTGATCTCTCAGCCTGGAAATAAATATCCTCTTCTAAGGATTTACTGGGAAGAGGGCAGCATCAGAAGAATGTGGTAAACCTAGCTGGCATACGACTTACCAACAAAGGGGTCACAGGACAGGTAGGAAGTACAGTGCCTGGGTGCAAGTGGACATCTCTAAGATTAATTCATCCACCCACAATTCACTCCCAAGAGGTTTCTGAAAAAGATGTGCCCAGGAGTGGACCACAGATAGAAAAATTCTAACTACAACATGCAGCTCATGACCAGATCAGTTGTACAACACAGATAGAAACTGTAAACTCTCTGTGGCAAGGATATCTTTTTGTTGTGTTGTAAAGTACACACACACAAAGAAGGATGACCTATGTCTGGGAGCTATCGGATGCTACTATAACAAAACAGTAACTTTTCATGTCCAAACATCATTATTAATTCAGACCACTGCAACAGATTTCTTTCAGTATAGAACTCCCTAAGACACACATCAATCTCTGGAGCTCAAGGTACCTTTGCTAAATCCAGAATTTCCTCTAGTCCCTTTGAGTTTTTTGATGCAATGCAAGCATACCTCAGGTGGACCACTGACTTTACCATAGAGCACAGAGAAAATATATTGCAAGAAGAAACTCATTAGCTGGTAAAAGTGCAAACTGTGTAGGCGTCACAGTAACCAAAAAAGCTAGGGCGATTAACTGTACAATTTCTCGCAAACAAAGCTATCTAAAACAGAAAAAAACAGCAAGGCACTGTCTTAAATGCAACCTGTAATTTTGTATTTGTCACTTCATTATTTAATGTATTGTGTACTTTGAAGTTTGTTAACACACGTAGCTATTTACATCATTTGGCACAAGCAGACAGAAGCTGAATTCATAACCTGGAAATTTAATCTGAGAATGTACTATAACCAACTTCAGTTCCTATTTATTTTTCTTAAGTGTTCCATTATTTCCATTAAAATTTTGGTGAGTAAATAGACTTGCTTATAACACTAGAAAGTAGAACTTAATCATTTATTTTCATTGTTCAGCAGCTGAACTGCAGGAATACGTGCCAACAAACTATTAGGAAAATAGATGTAAATACTGTAGTATTAAAATACAATATACTGTATAAATATGTGTAATGATATAATACCACATTATAAATGTAGAAGTAATCCTTTCTTCACTATTACCCTTTCAAGTGTAAACAACTTCCAAACGTTTACAATTATATGTCCTTTAAGTGCAAAGGATGTTAAAAACTGAGGAGTTAATTCTTTTGCGTTCACAGACAAAATCCATTCGAGGCAGAAAGGCAACACTTCTGTTACCTCTGTTAACAGTAATGTTACTCTTTTACAGTCTGATTCAAGGCCGACTTGAATGACCCCCGAGTCACTCCAATCACCGCACTGGACTGTGGGTCAGTTTAAATGAGCTACAAAAAAGTTATGATTCTATGACTTATGTATAGCAAAACCATGACTAATAATAACCACTTCAAATAACGAAAGCCATTCTGTTGTACACAGTAGACAAAACAGTTGAAATAGCATTTCTTTATACTTCTAATTACAATTTAATGAAAGGCCTATTTTTGTTTTAGTTGGGGGTTGGTTGGGTTTCCTCCCCCTCCCAAGTGTTCAAAGAACATAAGATTCTATGGATTGATGTGATTCCAGAAAAAATCTGCACTGACACTGTCAGTCAAAGAGACAGGATCTTCTATAATGAGACAGCCTGGGAGCGCTAGCAAGAAAAATAAATCAGCTTCATGTATTTATATGCAAGCTTTTATAATATTTCTTCATTGTTGCCACTCTATCAGCATCAAAGACCCTGGTCTAGCCAGGCAAGAATGAAGACTTACAGATTTATCAACCCAAAATGGGGAGAGAGAACGGGGGAAGAGGAAAAGGAGGGGGTGATGCAAGCAAATTTCCAGCATCTGAAGCTTTTCATAAAATAAAAGCAACTCGTTTTATTTCTTTACTAGATTTCTTTAAGCTAATGGCACATATGGGAAGAAGGCAGCTGAAATCACCAGTGTGAACCACTGAAACGTCTAAGTGACTGCTGCATACACCAGTACCTTTATAAAAGGCGAGCAAAGAAAAACAATAGAAAAAGCATCATAATTATCCCTTCTGATTGTCTAGAAGTTAGACCAAACAAAATCATCTGAATACGTTTTGCCATTCTGCAAGCTGCCACCTGCAAGCTGGAATTTATGAAATGACTTAACTACCAACTGACAAGCTGTTTTCTTCTGTGAAATGCAATCCAAATTATTTCTGTTTTCCAAGAGAAAAGCTGATTGTTTTGCAAACTTACTATCCTGGCCATCTCAAAAGCATGGGGAATTTACGAAAGAAAGGACTTCAATATAAAAGGATATTTAAAAAACTACAAGAAAGCCACGATACTGCAATAAGCTTCCGGTGAACAAATTCTACACAAGCATTAATTGAGACCTACCAAACCAGATGTAGTTGTACAAGCAAGAACCCAAGTTTTTCCATTTCTGCCTTCTACCTACATGTATGTATGTAAGTGTGTACAATAAATATACATACATGCACACAGAAAATTGAAGCTGCTGTTCTCTGACTGCGATTACAATCTGTTCGAGGTTACAAGTGCTACAGTACCTTGCTGAAGCACTGGAGCAAAACTACTCACCCCTTAAAGAACGAAATACAGCTTTAGGAAGAGCAGTAGAGTATTAGGACTCCTCCAAAAACCAAGCTGCGTAGGTGAAAAGTGTTTTACAGGAGAAAAAAGAAAATATCACAGTTTTACTTTGCTTAAAACAGGATTGATTTGTACCAAGTTTGCCCTGCAGGATTTTGATCCACAAGCCCTAGCAGTGGAAAAGAATCAAATGCAAAAGCTCAGAACAAACTGACAAGCCTATGCGGACAGAGATGGAAACATTCAAGAACAGAAATAACGAGAAACAGAACAGATGCAAACATTTCTTACAGACGTAAACATTACTCTTACACTCACGGCAACAGCTCCTAACTCCAAGAGCCTGTGGCGATCCAACTGCTGACACACTGCTAACCCTTCTCTTTTAATCTTCTCCCACCTGCCTAGACACATTAAAAACGTCTCTAAAATATAAGACTATTTTTCCCCTATGCTGACAGTGTAACCAGGCGGTATTACCTTTCCACCTCCCCTCAGCGACACCCAGCCAGTAAGGCGCTATTTCAAACAGGAGCACGAGTGCCTTCGCCGTGGGTTTTAGCGAGTTGTTCAAAGCAGATTTCCTCGACCCGAGCGGCTGGCCCGTCAGGACCGGCTCCCCGGCGGGGGCTTGCCCCTGCCCCGCAGTGGCCCGGGGAGAGGGCCGCCCCCTCCTCCCCACGCGCCGCCGGGGGCCCCCGGGGCGGGAAACGGTCCCGGCGCTGGCCGGCACCGGCACCTCGGAGCCGGGGCCGCCGAGGGGAGCCGGGGCCGCTGAGGGGAGGCCGCGCCGCCCCGTCCGCGCTCCAGCCCCGC